GCCCAAGGTTCAAAACATGTCCGCTTGATACAAGATGCCCTTTCAGGCGTTACCCAACCAAAAGCAGGCGTTCGCCTTGAGACTGGCACCGCTGTCCCCAGTACCAAAAACAAACCAACTTTAGAAGGGGCAGCCCCCGTCCATTCTCTGAAAATCATCAGGGGATCATTCGCCCTGACTGGTTGGCTTGGCCCAAAAACGGCATGACCCTGGCAGCCTACAAGGAGGCCGCTAATGCGGAGCTCTACCCTTCAGCCGTGCGACCCTTTAGGTTCTCGCGGAGAATCGCTTCCCAGTTCTCCATCGCGAGGGCTGCTGGCAGAAATTAAGACTTCTGCTAGGGGCTGGGGTTGCTGGTGTTCAAGCTAGGCAACGTATTCTCCAGAAAATTGTGAGCTGTCATCCTGACTCTTTCCTGCCATTAGGATCCTAGAATCCTGGTGGAGCCACCTTTGAGGCAGGTGGGTGAGAAGGTAATTATGCATTTTCTTCCAACAAAGCAGCTGAGGATGAACTACTGCCAGGCTAGTTGACAAATGGCAACTTGCCCCAACACACATAATTAAAGCAGCAACTGCAGTCGGGGCGAGGCCTAGCATTAGATTCTGCGAGTTTGTGGCCTTAGTTCGGCCGAAGCGCCTTGATTTGCTCAGCTGCGGTCCAGGCAACTCCTCTGAGACTCCGAGTAAGGAATGTGTCCCTAGGAGCTTGGGACCAACATCAAATGGCAAGGGTCTTTCCCGCGGCTTGCCATCAACCGGAAATGCTCTGATGCCTTAGTGACTAGAGGCATTCCAGTTTCACTCTTGAGCTTCACGCATCTGCAAAAGGCAAGAAGACCGTTCAGTCATGTTTTGGCTACAACAAATCTTGATGATGGACCTGCTTTCACTTGGTTAGACGGTTTTATGGAAACATCAGGTTGTCCACGCTGAAGGCCCTACAGTCCTACAGTCCCCAAGTCCACGAATCCTGCAACCTCTTTGAGCATTTACCAAAGATTTCATGCGACATGGGTCTTGCACTGGCACTGGCAGTCGACTGTACATCATGCCTGAAGTACACCGTGGCTTTGCCAGTCGGTGCTGCCTGAAGTACACCTGCAACATACCAATGAGGACTGCGCCAAAAGGCGCATTACAGGTGGTACTGAATCTAATTTCCGAAATCGTTGGAAGTTCAAAACTTGCTGTTGTGCAGAAGTATGCAGCTGGAAAAGCTGAAAGCTGTCGAATTACGTTCAGCATCAAACAAATCAAACCAAGATTCTTGCATCAGATTTCTGGCTTCTACCTGAGTATCGGAGCCACAGCGTCTGCACAGTTCACTTGGTTGCAAAATTGATCTACTGAAGCCAAGAAGTCCTCTCAGCTTTAGACAAGTGATTGGCAGACAAAAGCGGTCTGGTTTGACCTTCAAACATCCAACATAACATGCCCAACAACACGACCAAACCAGCGCAGGCATAATACGTGCGCAAAACAGGCCGGCCAACAAGTTACACCAACATGCAATCAATAAATCAAACAAAGCTGACTCGCGCAGTCGAATTTTGCGCACACCAACTGAATCCGTGTACTGCATGCAGAGGGAGCTGCAAGGGTTTGATTCGAAAAAAGACTTACAGTTGTCGCGCCTGCTTTGTGTGGCCAGCTTATTTCAAATATAGCCTGAAAAACGACAGCAGCATAGATTCCAAATAGCAAGGGTTGCATCTGGGCATCAAAACCGCAAGCGCTCTGAAGCACCCTCCAACCGGACCCTGTGCAACAGAAACTGCCCCCGCCTGCAACGGCGCCCTGTCAAAACTCTTGGTTACGCCCCGCAACAGCACCCTGCGCAAGAATCCCGCAACCCACGTTGCAGGTCAGCAGGCAAACAGCGAGCAAAAACTGACATAGTAAGCCCTCACAATACTACCAGCGAAAAAGCAAGTCACAAATTTAAAGATCCGGCATATGGAGTCGCTAGAGGGTTCCGGGGTTCGGAGCTCCTCGTACTTCAAGTGCAAGGGGAATCAGTGCCCAACAATACTAGCATAATACTACAAGACACCAATAGGGGTGCATAGTGAAACAGCAGTCTGGTTCTTCGCCTTGAGGCGGAACAACACCTGATAAGGAACGATCTCTGTGGGTTTTGGCTATACATTCCACTCGCTTCAAGGCTGCATGCACGCACGCACACAAACGCGCACACGCACACAAACAGTCATGCGTATATGGTGTCCAAGTTGCGGGGCTGCTGGTAGGTGACCTGCAGGGCAATTGCCACTTCCTGAAGGATTGCCAGGAGGTCTTCTGAATACTCCGCCAGGGACTCCAACTGCTTTCGCGTCTTCGCCTTGGAACGGACCGAGATCCATCGGACGCACAACGTAAGATGTCGGGCCAACATGTTTACCGGCAAGAGCTTGACAAAGGACCTCTTGAAGAACCTGTGCGAGGCCGTCTTTCAAAAAAACGGAAACAACAGCAGGTTTCAAGACCAGCAACAAGAA